TGATTGACGTCTTTCAAATTTTTGAACGATAATCTGTATTTTAATTTTTAGGGTATTTGAAGCACGTAAAGCGGTCCGGCGCCTGCTCTCGTGATAATGGGATCGTATCGGACATATCCTATCGTAGTATGTGAATATTGTATCTCTTCACAAACATTTATGCTCTGTATCCATAATCGGCTAGTAGACGGTCAGGTGAACATTATATGAGATGTATTTACTCGTATTTCTATGAAAAAAATATACAAAATCAATCCTAGAAGTCACTCAGAACGATAGCTTTCATAGCTAGCAAGGTTCAGTATAGTACAGTGTCAATGATCAATTTATTTAAAACTTATTAAAAAACAAATGTAGAATATGGTACTCAATTATTAAATTTATTTGTAGATGTCAAAGCCTTATAAATGAAAACGTATGTGCCTGATGCGTATCACATAATATACCCTTGTAATGCCCGTGTTTGTTTCCATGGTTACGATTTGAAAGGAAAAACTAAGAAGTGATGTAATAATCCTTTAATTTTGTTTAGCGTTAGGAAATAATGTAGAAAAGTGTCAATTAAAAAGAGTGTATGAAGATCACATGACTCCTTCCATTCTCGATCCGTTTTTGTTAAATTTTTTTAACATTCCATTTTCTTACCTCTTCAAATACCTGAAGGAAGAGGTTTATGTTTTTGTATTTTTCAAACATACCTCCTTCGTCTGTTGATTAATCAAGACAATTGAGGTGGCAAATGATTTGGATCGGTCCCTAATAAAGGGTTAAATCGGATTTAATGAATATAATGTACATTCTTTTTCGAATAACTTACCTTTCTAACAGTGTGAAGTTGCGAATTAATTACAGACACTTGAGAACTTGTGTCTAACTTCAGCCGTATAGAAGAAGCAATTTGTAATTATTTACTTAAGAAGTTGTGAGAAAATTCGAGACTATAGGGCGTTTAATAAGAAATTAGGGAGTCTAAAACTTTAAGACTGTTTAGGTATAATGTATAACTGGCAGAAGTGTCTCTTGAGTTTGTCTAGTAAAGTTCTTTAACATTAAATCTTTTGAATTTATATCGTTTTTGCTCAAGGATTAAAAAAAAAAAAGAAGTTAAATAATAACTATTATTTACTAACCGATCTGAGCTAAATTAAAGGAAAGAAGTAATTAATTCATTAAGAACAAATATAAAAACATACAAAGAACTGGATATATACATATACATTGATGCGAAAGCCCGGCCTTGACATGGTCATTCTAAACATGCTTCCTATATCTTAGAAGTCCTATCCCGATCATATAATATATCAATATGTAAAGAATCTTGTATGTTTCTTTATTATATACTAGATCGCGCTGTCAGCCATCGCGGTTGGAAAAAGCAGTTAGTTTGAAGTTTGGCAGAATTAAAAGTCATCGGCATTGAATTCAATATAGTTTAATTGTGAGGTTATTGTAAAAAGCTTAAAAAGCGATTGATAATTTTAATAATATACTTTTAATGTGGTCTCTATATTTTCAGGTAGGATAGTGTTATTTAAGTTTAAGATAATGTAATTAGTATAGTGTGTAAGTACTCAAATAAATATCTTTATTTTCAGAGCAACACAATCGCTTACTTGATCTATCTAATCAATCCCATATAAAATAAGATATATAATCTTATAATACTAGTAGGCACTTAGTCTTATAAGTTTAGTTAGAAAAAACTTATTTCCTAGGTAAATATAATTAACTCGAAAATTAAATGTTTTGATTATCAATGTCAAGACTTCACTTTTTATATATATACAAAGACAATATAGAGTCATAGTTAAAAAGGTCCAAAGCATGATGCAGCAGCAATTAGCTATCAACAAATAGTAACATGTCCGATTATCTCATTTCAAGAGGAGTGGTCCCATAATTATAGTCCTTTCACGGACAGTCTTAGAGTGTAAATAATCGAAGGTGTAGTCGGAAGGTAAATCGGCTTCTTCCACCCTAAATACGAGATCCAATAATGGTATGTTCGTACAAAATGTGGGTTCAAACGGTCCAATTTACTCGCCGCAACACCGAGCGATCTCGGGTTGAGTACTTCATTCAGTCTTAGGTTCTATGGTTCTATGGAAGGTCACATTATTTTTACCTGAATGGACACAGCGCGTTTGTAGACCGTAATTTTTAAGGATGACTAAAAGCTACCAAAGTTAAACATACTACAATACAATGAAAATTGTTTCACTTTTATTTATTTATTAGAAATCTCACAGCTAACATACATATTATAAAACAAAACACTTAGACAATATAGAAAGCCAAAAAATTACATAGATAAACAATATATACTGCCCAAAACAATTAGCGGAACAAGATTTTTCTCCTTTCTATTGCTTAAACTAAAATTAGATTTAAATTAACTTGTACGCTATTTTTTACCTTGTTAATTTGTTAATTACTACAATAAATAAAAAAATTCAATTTGTATTTTTTATATTAAAAAAAAATTAAAATGTGCATTCTGGGCCCATACCATATGCTGCGGGCCAAACATGATCTTCGAGCACATTTTCAATGTAAGTTTGAGCACACAAGCGCCCGGAACAACGACGAGATCTGTGCGCTCGTCCAAACTAACTCCGCCCCAAACCATCACAGAGCCACATCCAAATTTGTCATATTCCTGGACTGCTGCTGCACTGTATCGCTCGCCTGGGCGTCTGTAAACACGGAGACGACCATCGCAACGTGTTAGACGGAATCGTAATTCGTCAGTAAAAAGCACTGGCCTCCAATGTCGAAGTTGCCAATTAGCGTGATTTTGCGCGAACTGTCGGCGAGCTTGTCGCTATGTTGAATTGTTAGACGCACAGCCCGAACTGGTCGGCGTGATCTCAAATTGGCTTCCAACAACCTATTTCTTACCGTCTGGTCGGAAATTTCTACACCAGTAGCCGTCCTTAGTGTATTTTGTAGATCTCTTGCAGTTGTGGTGCGGTTACGTAAAGCACAGTTGACGATGTAGCGATCTTGCAAACGTGTAGTTTTTCTCTTTCGACCTTGACCACGCCTTCGTGAGTATTCTCCCGTCTCACGGTATCGCTTCCAAAGTCTGTAGATAACAGAAGGGGCTACTCCTAGATCATTTCCTACATAACGCATAGTTCGACCCTCTTCAAGCAAAGCGATAGCTCGGGAGACATGCAATTCAGTCAGATCTGGCATTATGACCTTAACTCACTCGCTTCAATGAATAACAATACTCAAAAGGCTCACTTCAATACTCAAAAGATTGAAAAAAACTACTTAAAATGTGTTTTCTGTGATTAGAAAGTAATGAAAATTCAAAGACGTCACTTTGTTTTTCGTCTACATTTTAATTTTTTTTTAATAAAAAAAATACAAATTGAATTTTTTTATTAATTGTAGTAATTAACAAATTAACAAGGTAAAAAATAGCGTACAAGTTAATTTAAATCTAATTTTAGTTTAAGCAATAGAAAGGAGAAAAATCTTGTTCCGCTAATTGTTTTGAGCAGTATATAATATATGAAACAGTAAACATAAGTAAGTACAATTTAAAAAAAAAAATATATTAAAGAAGAACTGAAATTTAACATTAAGCAAACGATAAACGATTAAAAAAAACTAGAGTGTTACTGCTTAAACAAAATCAAAGTCTTCCCGCCTATTCAAATCTTTCCTCACATCCTCTTTGGTGAGGTGGAAAATATAAACGTCCTTATAATTAGTGTCATGGTTAGATAAAAAATAGCTTAGTTAAGATTAAAGTTTTATTAGCGTTATAGAATAGAGGTCTGTCCAGACGGGAGTCATTGTTCGCGCAAAGTATGAGCTGTTTCTTTAAAACCATTGTAATATATTTAGTACAAATTAAAAACGAAACTTTAAGTCGAATGTTTAGCAAATCTTAACAAGAAAATCTTAAATGGAACTCTAAAGTAGGTAATAATTAAGAAGTTTTCCCGCTGGAGTTTAAAAGGCGATCTTTGGTGTAAGGCCGAAAGTGGAGGAAAAACTGAAACTTGTTTAGTCTGTAATTGCGCCGAGGGCTCACCAGGCGAGATAAGCTCGTTTCGTTTTAATTTTCCTTCTGGAAATTACTCCAATTCCCGCGTTGAATAAATGAGGTCTGTTGCACTACCTACTTTTAGCTTTTTTCTTAATTTATTTTATTACCGCGAATGAGTTCTCGAGAAAGTTCCCCGCTCTGTTAGTCCAACGTTTGATTAACTATTCTTACTTAGAAAAACTTACGTACAAGTATTTCTGAGGACACTAAATTAATGTTCCCTGATGTTAAATTACGTTTCTTACAAAGTAAAACAAGGACTTCTGTGCTTCAAGTTTTATATAAATTTATTAAGTCGTTTATATAGAACAGTGTTGGCCTAATGTTCCCTAGTATGTCCTACGTTCTATCCCCGGTTGGTATTATACTACCACGGCTTTATAGTACCACGAAACAGTTACAGAAATCTGGGGCTCAGATCTAAATTGCATTATATACATTTATAATTGTAAAATTAATTTTTTGTTTCTCGACAATTGACTTAATAAGTTTCTGATGTTTTATAGCCATCGATCAGGTATAGATTAACCAACAACCAACAATCTAGATATTATATAACAAGAAAACGCACATTTGCGGCTAGCGGCCAGCAAGTGCCATGACTTTCTTACTCGTTATTTTAACGCCGGCAGTTGCGCGTAATTTAAATAAATAAATAATATTATATTGTTTATTTTAATTTAATATTGTATAGTTGGTTGGTTGAGTTCGTTTGGATAAATACGGTAATCTCAGGCATTTCTGGGTCGAAATGAAATTAATTTAAGGATTTGTAAGGATAAGAAATCCCGGTTTTAGTTAAAGACGTTGCAACAACTTTACTAAAATACACGAAATGGGGGTGGAAGATAGTTATATGTATATATTTTACATAAATAAAAATAAATGAACAATTAAGTTTGTATAACTATTTAATTAAAATAATATCACATTACCGTAAATGCATGGACGATAAAATATCATTTATGAACGACGTATATTGCGGAAAGTGATATTGGTTAGAATCATGTTTTTCGCTTTTAGTGGAAGCGTTCTCTTTGCAGCTCGCGTCCCGCCATTTCGATAATTCAAGTCCCGGAATGTGGGAACACGGGACTGGTGTATTCCTGTAAAGATATATTTAGACATAGACATAACATTTATTACTAACAAAAACACACACACACATATAAAGACACAAAATAACAATAATTAAAGAAAAAAATTAAATTAATAATAGAGATATCAAACAAAAAAAAATCCCTCTTCCCATTCGGTTCGTTTCAAGTGTGTAATGCGTGTGTGCTATGGCCGTAATTTGCCCTGGCTCAGCATTATGCTGAGGAGCAGAATGTTCCACAGCGCTGGTCATTCTGCCAGAGGCCACAGCAGCTAGTTTGCGCCTCAGTCGCAAAAAGAAGAGGAATATAATAATAGTTAGTAGAAAAAAATAATAATAATAATAATATTAGTGAAAGTTAGCAGTGTAAGTAATGAAGTCTTGTGTAAAGGTGTATAGCAAATAAAATAAAATAAAAAGTTCAAAATAAGAATAATTGTTAAGATTTTTTTTTGGGCGGATTAAAAACTAGATTTCGTGGTTCCACGCTTGAAAATACGATAAAAATATGACATTCAATTTCACACATATACAATTCAATAATATTAGATATATTTGATATTTAAAAAAATTGTTTTAAAATTCACGTCTTGACAATATTCGAAAATTAAATAACGCACCACAGGGAAGCCTAGTGTGGGTGCTAGGGCACTTTCTCTATTAACTGTACATCTTTATAATGTCCAATATAATAGCAGAACTTCGTATGAAACTCATATAAATGAGGAATACCTACCAGTGAGAAGTACTCATGAAAGCATTTGGTTGTATATATTTGATGCCCTCTGCATTGTCACAGGCGATTCGAGCCATGTTTGTTTTCCTTATTTCACTTAATTGAGCTGAAAAAATTGAATTTGTTAATGCCATCCTAGTCGTAATTGTACGGCATAACTGATAGTTGTATAGGAAGGTGTTCTAAGTAATAATAATAATTACTTTATGTATTTTGTTCTTAATTTTAATGATTTCCAATTATATGTTCGTGATAAAAAAATTATATAAATGATAGTATAATTTGTGCGTACTAGGGCGCACGCCGTATTTGATAAATAAATCCGTATTATATATACCTATCACTTCATAATTACCGTCACTTTTTAAACTCTCGACGCAAAAAGCCAAAGTTGCATCTGACTACGCGGACTCATTTCACACTTTGTCAAAATCGTAGGAAATATACAGACACATCACAAATCATAATTATAGAAGTGTCCTTAAATTGTTTCACATTTATAAGATTTTTTTAAATTAAGGAGTGAGTAACACAACTTATAGAATACTATTGTATTCTTTATTATTATAGGCAAGTAAATGTTAACAAAGCCTTTGTTTATAGTACATACACAAAAGACAAAACAATTACAACAACGATTTTAAAAGGCGCTTAAAAGCAGTAGGGGAGCACGAAAACATATAAATATAGTAGTCAGTCACAATCTTCACTTTAAACCTAAGGTATGTTTTTAATCTTTTTAGCTTATACTAGTCAGAAGCCTTAATTTTCATAGCTGAGTTGAATAGCTTTTCAAATAAATATTAATCTACAACAAAAGATAATAGATAACGTTTAAAATATTTCACGAAATAGACTCGTTATGAATGCGGTTAAGGGTTGACAAGGTTTTTATTCTTGTTAAGTATTGGTTTATTTTATTTAACTTCAGCTTCATTCGTTTTAAATTATTGCAACAGTGAACTGAAGTGGAAATTGGTCCGAGCGTAAATGTGTTTGAATAAGGATTGTGAAACTCTGTTTGACTTTCCATTTTTAATTATTGAATTAATCAATGCAATCTATTTGCAGAACGTTTTAAAACGTTACGCTTTGCGAATTTTTGTCTGTTGTGACGTCAATTCGTTTTTTATAAATTTATCCGGAAATTTTATGAAATATTGTTTTTTATAAGCCCGATAGTTCATCAAACACTTTTTTAATTAGTTATTAAGTAAAATTGTGGAAAGGAAAATAGGATTTGTGTTTTGACCTTTATTTTGTATGAAGTTTCTAGTTCCGTGAGATAAGAAATATTTCTGCGTTTCTTAAATTGATTTTTAGGCGCTAACCAAAACTAACCTTTGACCTTTGTGTTTCTTAATACCACCATAAATATATTATTCAAATATATAAAGTTGCATATGTTAGACACAAAGCTGGCTTATAAATTATGTAACATTTACATATAATTTGAAGGACACACGTATTTATTTATTTTATTTTTTAATAAAGATAGTTCACCACTCGTATATAATCCTTTATCAGCACTGTATGTTACAAGTCATATATTATTTTATATTATTATATATAAAATATAATATATAGCTATAAATAAAATACACGACAATTATCGTAAACACAAATGTTACAAAAAAATAAAAAATAAACTAACAATTTTAGATTTATTTTAGATAAGTAAAATAAGGGATTAGGTAGATAGACCGATAGGCAATTAACAATGATATTTTTTAAATTAATCAGCCCACTACCGAATATTGTATCAAGCTCTGGATAAGTAGTGTTTATTCTGTATATGATAGTGTAGTGATTTAATTTGATTACTTACCTAGAGAGAAACTATGATAATTGTCCCCTCTTTCAAACCAGAATCTATTTGAAAATCGTAATATTTCTAGCTGCTTCACGATAATACAAAATAAGGTTGGACCAACGAATGTTGAATCAATATTATTCTCAGCCAATATCCCGACCAATAGGTCCACGTCATTCACGTTTTTGTAGACCTTTTTGAGTACTTCCACTATCTGTAAATAATTTAAAAAAATAAAAACAGTTGCTATAAAACTCCAATGCATTAAAATTTAATTATCATTTATTCTTTAAGGTTTAAATTTACTACAACCTTAGCCCCTGCAAGGTAAATGTACATTAACTGCTAGTTTATCTTACATCAAACACGTAAAGCGGAAGAGGAGCAAAGGCAAAGAAACTCTCTGCCACACGTTTTAATCGCCAGATTTATTTTTTGTTTTAGCCCTAGCTATTATAAATAAAAACGCCTCTATCAGCCCTGCGATTCTGTAACTCACTTTTCGAACTCACACTAGGGAGCATGTAGTCTAATAAATAATAAACTACATGCTCCCACCTTTTCAGAATGCCAAATCATAAAATGACTGCTTCACGACTGATTTGAGAGCGACCGCCGATGCGAAAATCGCTGTGTGATTCGAAAAGTAGTACAAACAGAATCGCAGGGCAGTAGTCGGAATCAACGAGTAAATAAATGAATTTATAAATTCACATACGATATCGTTATTTTTATGTATGTACCCAATTCGACTTAGGGTCCTTCAAGAAGAGAGAATACCAAGTATCAAAAGGCCGGCAACGCACTTGCGAGCCCTCTGGCATTAAGAGTGTCCATGGGCGGCGGTATCACTGAACATCAGGTGAGCCTCCTGCCCGTTTGCCCCACGTTCTATAAAAAAAAATATAAATATTGAATGATCTTCAGGATCAGAGTGAGTTATATTCAACAGCAGAAAAACACAAAGCACGTTATGAAACATATATTTATATACACACACATTTACATACCGCTAACTTTAATACTGTATTACCATAGCAACCTTTTTCCATATTAAATATGGCCACTGTGGTAACAAGGCGATCTTTAGAAGTCTTTAATAAAGCTTATAAACATGAGGGTCTCATGGGGCTCTTTGCCGACTGTCCGCCGTGTAAGTTTTCTATTATCCCTTTATAATAAACAATTGTAATACCTTTGTGAGTAAGTGATATAAGCCCTTTACTAGGATATGGATTACCTCATCATCAATAATATCCTTTAGATCGTCAAACTCCATCGCTATTCTCAATCCACAGAAGTCTCTGTACTCGTTATATCCTCGTAAAGCGAAATCTCTACCGCTTTGAATATCCATAGAGACCGGGTCATCGTTTGGAAACTTCAAAAGGAAAATAAACATGATATAATATAGTTAATGGTCATATCATTTTTATTTACAAAACATAAACTAAAGAGAATTTATTTTGTAACTCCAAAAACCACCCACAGTTTATAAAGGGACAGCTTATTTATAAACTTACTTCACCGAAATTTAAATGTAATTTGTAGAGTAAAATGTCTCCAGGCTGACATGACAACGACTCTTTTAGATTGTTCATTTACGCAGGAGAATAATCATTAAATTAACAGCGTAAAATTTCCGACCGGGATTCATACCCCGGACCTTATAATCTACAGTAAAACTATACTAAGAAGGCTTGAGAGTGACTAGGACGAAACAGCTCCAATAATCGAAGTTCATAATACGTTAATGCAGTATTTCAGTTTAAAACTTTCTAAATCATTGACTAATAATTTTATATTTGATAAATTTAATCTTACATTTCATTGTTTTATATAACTCGTTAGCACTTACGTAAAGATTATAATTTGGTTTTTGAAGTGAAACTTCTTTATCGGGGTTGGAAAAAAATTTAGTGTAATTTTTTTGCGTTACGCGTCACATTTTTCCGTTACGCGCCATGTTGCTTTTTGAAGTCAAACTTCTTTATCGGCGTTAAAATATGACATATAGTATGTTTTTGACTTTGAAGTTTGACAACGGATTACATTTTCGAAGTCAAAATTCTTTATCGGCGATAAAATATGACATGTAGTATATTTTTGACTTTGAAGTTTGACAACGGATTACATTTTCGACTTGAAATTTGCTAATCGCAATTTGCAGCAATTAATTTGTAAATTGTATGCTAGGCAGTGTATCAAAATTTACTGTGTTTAAAGAAATAGTTTCTAATAAGGTCATAAAGAAGTTTCACTTCTTACGTGTGTACACCTAGTACACGCACACATTTATTTTATTTTTTATAAAATCTTAGAAGATATTAGTATATCTTAGTAATCATAAAATATTTAATGTATCTTAACAGAATGGACGCGACGTCAGTTTAATCGTTGTTTGACTTTTTTTGTTAAAAAGTATTTTAATTATATGTAAACGTATTAAACGTACTTATCACATTTATCCTTAACTTTCCATTTGCTGCACTATTTCAAAATCCAAAATAAGTAGGTATTTTTTACCATTTTACGATTTATTAATTTTCATGTTCAGTGTTCGTGTTATTTTAATGAACTTATAAAAAGCAAAAATATCGCTTACATGAATATATAAAACGGTCCATTATTAATGTTCATTTAAACTAACCTTGATGTTCTTGATATTTGTAGCACTTTGTAAAAAGGTTCCTCGATTGATCTCTTCGAAATTTGTTTCGTTTTCGAGGAGGCTTTGTAAGAGGAAACTTTTATTTAGTTCTATATCTCCGACCTTCTCGTAGGCTTCATTATATTTTCTGCGAAAAAAAAACAGCATCGCGTTTCTGAGTTCAAATTAATTTTTAAGTATGTCCTATTACTATTCCAAATTTAAATTTGCTTTTATTGGTCTATCTCTGGAAGTTATTAGACAATTTTAAGCTGTGCTTTTAATAATTTCGGAACGCTTTGCAGTCTGTATAACAATTATAATAATTAGTAATTGTCATTGTCAGTGACAAACCCATTGATTTTACTCTTAATATTTGTGTGAATATTATGTGAAAGATTAAAATATAAAACAAGTTTTCATTCGAAAATCCTTGGTTCCATCAATTACTTTATTTTCATTTACTTTGTATGAGTGTTTACACTGCTGATATTTTAACAAATATAATATATAAAGAGACCAGTGGCGCTACTAACCTTGTTAAGGTCTCAGATAAAAAATAAAAGTATATATTATTCAAAACCTACCACAATAAGGGTGATAAACTATTAGCATCGTTTAACCACAATGTTGCTTAGTTATCATTGTTCCCTAGATTTTATATTATAGGTTCCACATAGCTAACGAATGTATCTTCTGAACTTTAATCACCAAACATTATTAAACTAACAACAATTATCAAGTTAGCCCAATGTGGGAATGTTGATTTCTATAGAGGGTTTTTAATATTTTTTCTACACAAACTAGAAAAGAGTGTACTTACTCGATTTTGGAACTCATAAAGGTGTTAAAAAATCGCATGGCTATATCGAATTCAGCGTACACCCCTGGTGGGGTCTGTACATCATACGTTGTCACGTGGTCATTGGAGGTAGATATAAGATCGTAAGTTATCATATTTCTGTAACCTATATGAAAATTAAGATGTAAATATTACTGTGTATTTTTATTATTATTTAAATGTAATTCGAATTATAGATTGAATTATGAGTGTCCAATGGTTGAGCCTTCTGCCCGTTTGCTCTTTGTTCTAAATGGTGTCCTTATATCAAATACATCGTAAATAATTATTATTGCTTCAGTGCAAGTTGTAGAAAACTATTACAAATTAATATTATATAAAGTTTATTAAATACTTTTCAAACGATAGACTACGTATGATACCTTCTTAGAAAATATATTGGATCAATCAACATACAAAAGAAACGTAAAATAACATAATAAATACCAATTATTCTAGGCATCAGCTCATACATGAAGATATTTGAGGCAGTAGCAACATTGATTTGTCGCGCAACTTTGAATATCCTGTCATCTTTCCAGCACGGGTTGAGATTTGCAAGCGCATGCGCTAAGCGGTTGTGTTCGCGCAAAAAGAATATAGCTAAGGTGGTCGTACGCAGATCCAGTGGCGAGATTTTCGGTAAGCCTTTAAAAGATACATTCCTTTGAATCTAATATATAAAATTCTCGTGTCACGGTGAAATGGCTCGACCGATTTTCGAGAAAATTTGTGTGCATATCGGTTAGGTCTGCGAATCGGACAACATTTATTTTTCATCCCCCTAAATTGCATCCCTAAATTTTGTTTTATTTTTTTGAGTAATTTTTTTGTTTTTCCTTAATAATCCTTAATTTTCACCCCTCACGATCAACCCCTAATTGTTATTATAGTAGCTAGTTATTTTTATTGAAATAAAAAAATGTTTCCATCCATTACAAATAACGTTTGCCGGGTCAGCTAGTAATATATATGACATCAAAATGCACTAAAATAATTAAATACTAACTATTCTTATTTGTATTGGCCTGTATGAATTGAAGCTTATAGGCGCATCAAATTAAACTTATGAATGTTAATAAAAAATAATGGTCGACTGGTCCTGTCTTACACACTAAAACACACAAAACAACAATAAAACATACCAATTGTATAACAGGTGCCATTATCAGTAAAGCAATCAGTATTGTAGTTCAGTGGTAGTTCACGATGTCCCGCCTTGTTAGATTTGAGAAGACCATCCTTATATAACCGACCTTTTTGAGATGTTTCCTCAACCCCATATATTAGTGACAAGTCTAATAAGGGGGTTTGGTAATTTATCTAAAAATATGTAAAGTAAATAAACATATACGAGTATACTGAAAAAGGTAACTTAAAAAATGAATCTCCAGTAGTCGCCTCTACGGCGTAGTTATTTTAAATCAAATTCAAATTTGATTATATATAATTATAGTATGGTCTCGTCGACTGGAATTTACCCTAATAATAATTTTACATATTTAAATTTAATAACTCTAATAATGTTGAACGTAATTACAAGGAAGCTAAAATTATGTCCGTGTTAATTAATTACAAACTTAAAATTAATTTATTTTTAAGAAGAAGTTTTGTACAAATTCATACTGTAGTACAGAATATAAGTAGACAGATACATTTAATACACGTCTCAAAAATTTATTTCTACCAAGTGCGCTCTAAAATTCGAAATTCGAATTTGTTTTGACACCTGTCATGAGTTACGGGTCTTCTTCAAAATTCGAATCGTCTTATTAAAACTTTGCAGTATCAAATCTCACCTGTGCGGGTGTAATGTCGTGTGTACAACCTAGATCTTGGAAAGTTTCCGCTCTCGAGAAGTTTAGACAGTGTATTCCTTGGAGGTGAGGGTCGTTATCAACTTGTATGGGGATACATCGAGGATCAGCTTTCTCAGTGCAGCAGTTTCTCTTTAGGGAATCCACTGGAAGCAAGTCAACATTCGTTTGACTCTTTTATTTACAAAATAAAAATGCATCGAGCAAATGCAAAAAATATATTTATGCTTCCATGGTTTATAACCAGTCTTAGATTCGATTTCATCGGATACTTGCGATATATATAACCATACCTACTTTATCTAATAAAAAAACGCTCTATGTCATTTTAAGGTATTATTATCTAAGTACCATTATAATATTAGATCTAAAATATACAAAATGTTAACGTCGCTTCTTCAACAAAATTATACACAAAGCATTCGTGACACGGCGCTATCTTTCTCTTTGTGCCTTTATTACTCCAAAATGGCTTAAAACAATTTCAATGGTTCATAATTCATGTATTTTATTATCGTAACTTGCTTAACATTACCTGACATAACATAACCTAGTTTTGCTAGAATGTTAGTTCTGAATAGTTTCATAGAATTGTTATACCTACCTGCACGCGACTTCGTTTGCTTACAATTTGTTATGATAAAATTGCTATCATCAAATGATAAATAATTTTTGAACCTTTTCTAGTAATTTAAATATGTAAAAGAGATTTTTATTTTTATGGTGTAGATATAATTGTAACGTAAATTATGAATAGCGCCAAATTTGCGCGGCTAGAATTCATAGATAAGAACAATTATTATAAAATGCCATAGACTATATAATTTATAGAAAGTACGCGTATCCTAGTAATAAATAATAATAGAAACTCCTTGGTGATGTGGTGGAGGAATTAACAAAAATATAATTTAATATTTTTGATATTCGGCATACATATATAATAAGAACGATTTGATTTTTGGATGTCTGTGGTCATCTCTGTCATGCATCGTCTTATTAATTAAATATTTATGCAGTATCTGAATGTTGTTACTGAATATATTTGGATAATATTCTAACTTTTAAATTGGGGCCATTTTATATTATCTTATCAAAGTTTAATATATTATATAATTTAGTTTTGTAGGACTAATAAACTGCTTCTTCTATACAAACTTTGTTTCTTTTTCTTGCGAGTAATACAAGCGTAAAATTAGAAATATAATCTACTTACAAGGTCCATTAGAAGAACTCAAGTCTTGTCTTACTAGTTCCATAAAGTGAATAGCAGCTGCATTCAGATTGCTCCTGTCAAGTACGTACTTTGTGGCTACATTCAGACTCGTGTGTACTTTACGAGCTGATGGTAGTTGCTCACCGGTTTTGGATCGTCGTATTTCATTTTCTAAAATAAAATACCCTCAAAATTTATTTTTTCAATATCTATACTTTCCGATAATTATGTAAATCAACCAAATCAGCACTAACGCGTGCAAATACATATAAATCACATTATTTTCTTTTTTTTTTTCTTTTCTCTTTATGACTCTGGCACGGTTTGTGAATTAGCCAGCCATTATTTACTTACTCAAACTGTAGAGTGTTTCGCGTAGAATATAAATATGTTAAGTTATTCGAGTTACAATTTACTTCTATATAATATTGTCTATTGGTAAAGTCGAGTATCATTTGTAAATAAAATGCTTATACGTGAATTAATACTAATTTATATTGACGTTACAACAGCAGTCCGTAAGACTGATATAATTATATTAATTTAAAAAATATATTGTTATAAATTATTCACGTATTTATAACAATATAATTATTCACCAGTGCGTGCGTGTTTGTGCGTGTAAGTGCGTGGGTAATAAGGACTCTTGAAGTTGTGTACATAATTTAAATCAACTTTTCGATTTAACTTAGGAAATTTAGTACACGGAAGCCTGTATATACTAAAATATTATAAAATTTTAACAATATTACATACAGGTGAAACCGCGTTCGTATACGTAATGTATGTTTTCATATACTTATTGCTTTATTACAATTGTTATATATGAAATACTAACGATTAGCATAATCCGGTTGTAGCAATCGTAAATATGGCCTGCCGGCGGCACCGGCTGCGGGATGCTTGTAATTGTTGCAAGTACCACTCACACGGCTGACCTCGTGGGCTGCGCATGACTTTATGTCTACTGTACATTTGCTACGACGATAATTTACGAATATAGCTTATTTACATGATTATCTAAACTAAATATCATAGAAGTTCTGTATAGACATTTAAAAGGGGCAGCTCAGTTTGTGACGTGGCTGTTTTAACATTTGACAATTATACATGACAAACTGTTGACCAATCACAATTCAACGGAATGCGCCATCATTTCGTCTGTCCTTTAACATTCCTATCCCAACATGCATTAAAAATTATAATTGAAACAGACGCCTACGCTACCTTATTATCCGTTAGTTATTGTATTGTATTACAGACAGCAGCAGTGTTGAGCAGTGTTGGCCTAGTGGCTTCAGCTCTCATACCTGAGATTGTAGGTTCGATCCCCGGCTTTGCACTAATGGTCTTTCTTTCTATGTGAGCATTTAACATTTGCTCGAACGGTGAAGGAAAACATCGTGAGGAAACCGACATGTCTTACTTACTTAGACCCAAAAAGTAGACGGCGTGTGTCAGGCACTGGAGGCTATTCACCTACTTGCCTATTAGATTTAAAAATAATCTTTTTTTTTTTTTATTTATTTATTTATTTTCTCACAAAAACTTAAACTTAGGACATAAGCAAGTGACTGTTATATTCTTACTTCTGTTAATGGAAAAAGCTAGTCTATGTGAGACTGATGCCTGCTAAAGGTAAGAGTACCTGTGTTACAGGTCATCAGGCCTCCACCACTTCGGATCGACAGAAGATCTTATACAATACAATACATTACAATATATAGAGGAAACCACATGGGGTATGTGTGTATGTGTAAATTATGTGTATGTGTGTGGGTGTGTGTCTGTGTATGTTTTATATTTTATATTTTATCATGAAACAGATTCAGGAATCTGAAGAGGTTGTAGCGCCACTGATTTTTTTTTTAAGTATTACAAACCCTTATAATGTGTTTAGTAATAAAATGACTATATATTATAATGAAATACTTCAACTATGAATAATTGAATTAACTAATAAGACATTATATAGAAGAAATGTATTTAAGTAGGTTCCCTCTTGGCAACCTGGCACGCTCAATATAGGGACTAAAGATTTATTTATACTGTGAACATACATTCATACAATTTAAACAGCTCCCAATAAATATGAAATGAACCAATTATTATGTAGTAGAGCATTTGATTGAATAAAAATACGAAAGGAACTTACTCCAAGTACTTTTTTAATCGAAATTCCTTTGCTCGTTCCTCGTCGACTTTTTTTCCGCTATACCTGTCAAACAGAACACTATTCACGCGCAAAAATATCGATATAAAAACGAAAACACGGTATAAATTATTCATTTTTCCCTCTTACTTGTGGTTCAATCAAACCTTTGGAATTGACTGATTCTACGAAGCGAATATTGTGCGATGTGTTACGTAAAATACATTAATATAGTTATCCTCGAATGGAGTCGGCGAAAATTAATTACATCCGAAATTTTCTTTCATAACATTTATTGTCTAGCATTTTACTGTGGCGTTTTTAATTACTTGATTTAATGATAAACACATATAAAAATACGGGTCTTTTATAAGAATTGCATTTTATTTTATCAGACAGCAGATCTTGTCGTCGTTATATCAAAAGTAATACAATTTAACATATCCTTTACTCTAATGAAAGAGTACTAGAGACGTGTATGTTTTTGAATTTTAATCTAAATATATTGCAGATGTTGACTTGAGATAATGGAATAAATATAAAAGAAAAATATGAAGAAATATAAAAATGTGTATTCTCAATGCATTCTCTGCCTCTGGTGGTATGGAAGGGTCAATTGGTAGGTTGTTAAGGACGCCGAACAGATTTTCTTAGGCAAAAGCATCACATTGTCTTAGTATAGTCTTAGTAGTTATGTAGTAGGTACCACAGATTATAAAGACTATAATAAGACTCGATATAATAATTATTTTTTTTTACTAACAATAAGAACAATAAAGCCATAGTTGGTCAATGTTTTTTCATATTAATGCTGTAGGTGTAAAAAATTCTATGATTCTTTAATTAGGGCAGGGCTTAGACGCGGCCGCCCATAGTAAGTTTTTTCTTTTTAAATTAAATTAATATGATTAAAAATATGTAGATAATCTCTTGTAAAATAGTTTAGATTAGTGTGTAACTATAAATTTTTGCATCTTTTGTACTTTACCGAGTTATGTGGCGTCCAGTGAAAATGCTTTAAATTAAATGAGAAGCAGAAAAGGCCGTTTTCCTGGAATGTTCGCTGAATTTTTTCTGCAAATCTCATCTACCGTGCGCTTTTCTTTAACTTTATCCATCTTTAATAAGGCCACAATCTCCAACAATTCACTTTATCTTGAAAGGTCTCGCGAGATTTTAAACCTGATTTATGCAATATTAAATTTACTCTGAGTTTTGCTTGCGTCGAGTTCGGAATATTTGTAATTACTATATAAAAGTTTTGACGGATATTTAACAAACAAAAGAACGTGAAATAAATTCATTTTATCCTACGAAGTCAATTTAATTAAAATAAAATAATGTAACCAAATACAATGTACGAGCCGAGGCGGTATATTTTGGTCACTCAGGCTTTCTTACTTTAATAATCGTGGCGATTTCCTAAATCGTCGGAGTTACGCCCCGAGGGTATGGCCAGACGTAGGCACTCGCTTCAACTTCACTGCATTCATTCGTTACATACCAATTAACATTTCATTATTTCGCTTATATTATATTGTTGTACGCGAGTGGTTAATATAGAGTAATAATAAATTCTTCTATTATTTAAAGCACCCCGACAACTGCACCTTTATCGGTTTCAGGCCAAAATATTTAGCAATAGCTTTGCGGTTGGTATATAATCTTTTGAAACTAGAAAAATGTAGTATATATAAGGAGACCGTGCAACGTTTTTCGATAACTTTAGGACATAATAAAGTCAAATCTGTTAAATGAACATTTACATATTACACTCTTTGAATAGTTTGCAATATATGTGTTTTTAATTATGTATTAAAACACTTCTAATTGCTACGATAAATGCTCTGTATACAACTGTTTTTTTTTTAAATATTGTGAGTAGAAATGGTACGTAAATGCCCAAGCTTTACCACGCCCCGAGTATCAGACTCCTACGGGTACTACAGACACTATGACTCCAGTATATCAAATATTTTTTACATACTTAGCGCTTAGTATAGACCCTAAGACCTTTAGATAAACGCATTACAATGTGGACAGCGCTATGGAATCAGTAACCAAATAAAATAATTTTCCATCAGGGCATAATGCCCGCTAATCTCGGTAGGTTTTTAAAAACAAAATCCGTGTTCAAGTTTGCATTGTTCGCTGGCAAGCTTTTAAAACCGCATTTCAAATGTTTTGTGATGCATTAACGTGAAATCCTTTGTATGAAATGCAAAGGTAATTAAGTTTCATGCATGAATAAATTTAATTTTGCTAAAAGTAAAATTGTTTCATATGCAATCAGCTTTGTCTTGTAAAAGTTATTGATTGGTTACCATATTTTTAACAGAGATAATATCTAGCAGTATCTACAGATAAATGATTTAAAATGTCGCTAGTAAATTTGCATTTAAATAGGGTTTTAGATATTTATCAGTGAAATTCTTTAAGTACTTGGTAGCTAAAATCAGTACAATTAGAATAATCAAAAACTAAGGAGTGCCACGGGCGGCCTTCTGGCCTTCGACCTATTCCAGACCACATTTATTTGTAGGCACTGCACATATTTTATATCATAAATATTTGATTATCGTAATTTTGTCTTGTGTGATGTTTGAGAGCATAAATAAAATAAAATGGGACGGACTTTGGTATGAGTTGCTACTTGTGTGGACACAGCTCCGTCTCACCTCCCTCGGACAAGCAGAAAAGCTGGCGCCCGCAGAGCAGGCGGAACATAATAAACAGCTCAAATACATGAGTCTTTCCTACAACTTTGATTTTGGTCCCTTTGGTGTAGAGACTCTTGGGCCGTAGGGTTCAAGTGCATGGCGCGTGGTAGATACCGGTGACCCCAGAACTGATGCTTTCCTCTCTTAACGAATAATGCAATCTCGATGCCGTGAGGAAATGCTGCCAGCTTTATAGGTACACTGCCCACAGTGACAAAACTTTTTAAATTTGTTTAAATTTTCTATTTATAAATTTTTATTTATTATTATTTTTAGTAGCAGTAGGTTAAGATGGTAAGTAACTACTGTATATTTAAAATATATTATTTTTCAATAAAATAAATTATCGTTCTGTAACTTGTCGCAAAATTGTTATATACTACAAAACTAAAGAAAAAGTTAACTCGTAGATGTTATAAGAAACATGTTATTGCTTCTATGATGTCAAATTTCGCCACAATTTTAATGACTAATCTAAAGTACCAATGTACATGAACAGCTACATTCAGGATGCTAAATTAATTAGATCACTTTGATCATGTTCGGGATGAGTCTTGTGTATTCACCTCTCTCTAATTGAAAGACGAGATGTTATCCGAGTATTCGACGACATATTGAATATTGCGTAATCTTCGTGCCTAGATTATGTAATTACTTGTAATGTCTTTAATTAAATTTAAATGTGTGTAATATACTTCAAATTAGTCAGGCAAGAGGAACAGAAAAGTGCAGCAACAAAGTATTAAACTGGTGCCAAAGAGAAAGACAATTTAGAAGGTGGATAGACCAGATTAAGGAAACAGCCGGTGATACAGACAGATATGGCGGATTTGGAGGATGCCTTTGGCAGAAAATGGTACACTAGATAAGGAATGAATGAGATGACAGAAATTAAATGAAAGTAAAGTAACTAAAAAAGGCTTGAATTTTATTAATAATGTATTTATTTGAATCGAAAATTTGTTATAGTCGAAAACAAATAAGAAAGGAAAATTTACTCTCTTTCACCTTTAGAGGCTTAAAGCGCTGAAGGTTCTTGAAATGCACTTAAAACTGTTTTGCAAAATTGGTTACAAACTCCTAGTAATAAGACTGCAAATCGCGTGTGTGGGATTTGAATGGCGGCCTCCTTGACCGCACAACTGTCGAGTAATGTAAAAGAGTAAGTTCCTATTAGGGTTGCCAAAATGAAATATTTTACGATCGAGTTTGGTCGAGATGTCTTCATAGAACAATAAACAATACTAACGAAAACAGATACTGTATAACAATATCTATAAGTTCCCTAACTTATATACTTCACTGCAATGAAAGACAAAAGTTATCCTAAAATATAACGAGTTCTTTTACATATGACGATATTATTCACAGTGACTCAGATGTGACTAACTTTTTCTGGTTATGATACTTTGTGTTTATAAAAGTCCTTCCGATGAATCTGGAATGAACTGATCCCTTCTGTCACATTATCGGGATTCCATTTGGGACCTTTTTGTTTTTTCTCTTGTTTATTTTATTTTAATTGTTCTGGCACAAACCGTTGAACATTCAAAACTTAAAAAAAGATGAAATAATAATAACTAATAGTTATCTACAGAGCCGATAGCGCACGCTTTTGCAAAAAAAATTAATTATATTTAATTTTCCTCTCAAACACCACACATGTTAAAATGAAGACAATCAGATGCGTAATTATCGTGCCTTATGAAAATATGTTATAGAAAGGATATACACGTGTGGAAATAACATGAGAACTTAAGACGGACAGATCCATACAACTTCCTCACAATCGAGTGGCCTGCAATATCGCAGCACACAACTCTTTGACTTTTTGTATCGGAGATGTCGCATGGATCCACCAAGCATCCGCAAATATACAATGTAAATACATGTATAGCAATTATGTAGGAATATAAAGAGGCAAATAAAATAATAATTTCAAATAATTAACACAACAAGGTATCTAATACGACTCGGCGAAAAGTCTCTATGGAGTTGTTGAAAATTTCCACCGAGTCCTTTTTCATTACAGTTTTATTGTATCCGACACAATCTGTTAACAGGACCATTATTAAGCTATATACCTTTTCGTTTGTTATAAATAATTTCACTAACAATTAATTGCCTATTATTAACTGAATTCTGGCAGCCCTGAATGTGGGTCCACCGCTTCTTACAGGTGAGTACAACGCTGTAGCCGACGGCCGGAAATAAAGGGACCTCTATCAATGATTCTGAAAATGCTTTTAATTTTTTTCATCGACTTTTCTACTGAAATTGCAAAATTGCATTAACGTCGAGATGTGCTGGCTTTGGTTTCAATGCTAGTTTTACGGCGATACTTCTGTGCGTGTTTGTAACTAAACTTCTAAACGGTTGGACGGATTTCGATATTTTTTATGTCTGTTCTAATGGTG